TCTCGCCGTGCTACAGTCATGATGGACGGTTTAACCGATTCTGAATGTTTGGAGCACCTGGGCCCGCCTCGTCGCCGCGCACGGATTCCCTCTAAATTCTGCCCCAAGCTCATCCCAGGATGGACCCGCGGCGTCAGAGGTTGACCACAGGTCCCAGCCATCCAATGTCTTGACAAAAAACAAGCTGGCGGTTTTTGCCGCTGTCTCTGTCTGCATCTGGGAACCCTCGCCTGGCCACAGCGCCGTAGAACAGCGACTCGGGATGGAAAACCCGTCCGAAGGAAGAGGCGAAGACCTCCGAGGAACGCGCTGTGAACAAAATCGCGACGTCGGCGGGCCTGGGAATGGCGGCCAGCAGAGGTCGGTGCCGCAACCCTGGAAAGTTCGGATCGACCGCCAGAAAACGTAACACTAGGTCGGGCATGTCCCCCGACAGGCGGATTCTAGACGAAAAGTTAAAGATAGCCAAAAGTACTTCAAAATAGTCCAAAAATGATTGAAACAACAATCGCCCCCCGACCATTTTTCCCTACCTAGGCTCTGCCTAGAAGGGTTCTTACTCTCTTAGCTTACAGGGGCCGGGCAGTGCACACCGCCCCGGCGGTTCCCCCAGTCCCCTGGGAGCGGTTCCCCCCAGTCCCCAGGGAGCTTTAGCTTTAGCTTTAGCTTTAGCTTTAGCTTAGCTTTAGCTTAGCTGTAGCTTAGCTTTAGCTTAGCGTTTCGCTTCGCTTTTCGCTTAGCTTTTAGCTTAGCGTTAGCTTAGCTTTATCTTAGCTTTAGCTTAGATTTAGCTTGTCTTAAGCTTAGCTGTAGCTTAGCTTTAGCTTAGCTTTATCTTAGCTTTAGCTTAGCTTTAGCTTAGCTTTAGCTTAGCTTTAGCTTAGCTTTAGCTTAGCTTTAGATTAGCTTTAGCTTAGCTTTAGCTTAGCTTTAGCTTAGATTTAGCTTAGCTGTAGCTTAGCTTTAGCTTAGCTGTTGCTCAGCTTTAGCTTAGCGTTAGCTTAGCTTTAGCTTACACTTAGCTTAGCTTTAGCTTAGCTTTAGCTTAGCTGTAGCTTAGCTGTGGTTTAGCTGTAGCTTAGCTTTAGTTTAGCTTTAGCTTAGCGTTACTGTTACGACTCATGCTGCTTTCCTAGGGGTTCCAACTCCTAGGTAGGGTCGCACTGGGATAATGTAACTATGTTTGACCATTCCTCCTGCAGATGGACAGGCCCGACTTAAGCGTACCACGAGGAACGCAAGCCCCGACCCTGGAAAGGGAGAACCTCCGGGGCCCAGCGAAGGACCCACAAAAACCGAAAACAGCGAGAAACCTCCGCTTGGATGTTTGCAGAACCTTGTTCCTGCACCGACCTTGCAGACGTGCTGCAGCGGATTGTCGCATGGATTGCTCTCAATGCAAAACCCCGAAACGGCAAGTGAAAAACGGAGTGAAGTTCGCGTGGATTGTTTCTAATCTTCATTCCTGGCCAAAAAATCCGCACGAAATTCAGTTCGAAGTCCCGAACGACAATCTCCGGGACAATCCGGGTCCATCCCAGCGTTTTCCGAGCGAAATCCGCTCTGCGATGTTGGCGCCCTGAAGCTTGATTCAAGTCGGGCGTGTCCCCCTACAGGGGGAATTTTGGGCGAAAAATAAAAAACTCTGACAATACCCTTCAAATGCTCAAAAACAGTCAAAAAATCGTCCCCAGACTATGTTGTGATTATTTTTGGATATTCCCCCTGTAGAGAGACAGGCCCGACGTAAACCCTGACATGTCTGAGTGCAGGGGTCGAAATTCCAAAAACCCCCACCGCGGGGTGGGGGGGGGTGGGAAAGCCGGGAGTGCGCACCACCATTGGGGGGGGGGGGGGGGGGGGGATTTGGAAGCGACCCCGCCGAGGCGACGAGAGCCGCCCAGAGGGATCCAAGAAGTCTGCTCCGGCCTCCGGGTCCTCCTCCTACCTCCGCCTCCAGCGGTTCTCTGCGTGCCGCTAAGCATCACGTCCCCAGCCTCCGCCTCCTCCTCCTTCTCCTCCTCCTCCTCCCCCTCCTCCTCCTCCTCCTCCTCCTCCATCTCCCCCTCCCCCTCCTGCACCTCCTCCTCCTCCTCCTCCACCTCCTCCTCCTCCTACTCCTCCTCCTCCTCCTCACCGAATCGAGGCCTCAAGCCCAAATCGGGCGCCCAAACTGCCTGGAGCCCACGTCAGGTGCGCCAAAAATGAGGGGGGGCCAGCAGGGGAGAAGGGGGGTTGGCGCATCACTGCATGGCCAAAGGCACGGGCGCGGACGGGGGTGGGTCAGGAAAAGCGCTGTGAAAGATGATGAGGGGGGGGCATGAGATCTGGGAGATCTCATGGCCCTGGCCATGATATTCACACACACACACACACACACACGCCTAGTCCTGACCCCCTCTTCGACGCCTCGTGGTTCTCGGGTCATAATTCAAGCCTCCGGCGGCCGTTCGGGGCGATCCGGGCACTCACGGAAAGCCGTCGACGAGGCGCAGCCGCTGGAAAGCACCCCGAGGCGAGCAAGAGCCCAAGAACCACAAAACTTCCTCCCGAGAGCCAGCGAACACGCAAACGCCCTCACCCCTCTCGGGTGAAACGAGAGGGGTGGATAGCAACGGGTAGGGTAGAGAATCAGCTCACGTAGCTGATTTTCTCAGCGCCTCCCGGCGCTGGGTATCAAGGGAAGGGCCCGGCGGCGGGGCCGAAACAAGCTGCATGCGGCAGACTTCTGAACCCCCCTTTCCCTATCCCCCCCTTCCGTTCGGCCCGACCCTCTCCTCGGACGCCCCCGGCAGCCAGGGCCGGGGCGGGCGCAGCCGCGGGGGGGGAGAGGGGCTTGTCGGGCCGGGGCCGGCGCTGGAGGACAGCGCCGAGCGGGCGGTCTGGAACAGCGACACCTCGTGGACGCGGGCGGCGCCGGCGCGCGCGGCGGGTTCCGCTGCCCTGCGCGGCTCAGGAGGAGGAGGAGGAGGAGGAGGGAGAGGAGGAGGAGGAGGAGGAGGGGAGGAGGAGGAGGAGGGAGGAGGAGGAGGAGGGAGGAGGAGGAGCAGGAGGAGGAGCAGGAGGAGGAGCAGGAGGAGGAGGGAGGAGGAGAAGCAGGAGGAGGAGCAGGAGGAGGAGCTGGAGGAGGAGGAGGCGAGGGTCCTCGGCGCGAGTGCTGCGCCACCGTGCGCGGGTCCACCGAGGCCCCTCGATGCGGCTCGGTGGGCCCGCGCAATTCCCGGGGGATCATCGAACGACGCTCCCAGGAGGAGCCTCCTCCTCCTCCTCCTCCTCCTCCTCCTCCTCCTCCTCCTCCTCCTGGAGGAGGAGCGAGTATCGTGAGCCGCTCGAGGCGAAGGTTTCTTATGTCCCACCGCCTGGAGATGCTTTGAGGCACAAGAGCTGGCACGGCTACTGATGACCCCTTTCTCCTCTCTCCTGCTTTCAAATCAAAGGGAAACCCGACTTGACTAGACGGGCCTCTCAAAACAACTCTAATCTCACTCGCGGAATCCTAGACTGAAGCTGCACCGGCAAAGCTGCAGCGCAAGAGAAGCCGCAGCATCGGGCAACAACAACTGCAACGCACAAAGAACATGCAACGCAAGCAGACACTGCATCGCAAAAACCAAGTGCGTCACAACAAGGACCAACTGTGTTTTGGTCGTGGAATTCGTACTTTCGTACTCTCTAGACTTGGACCAGGGACGCCTGGGGCAGCACCGGACTACAAGTCACACGCCCCGCGCCCTCCCAAGTGGGACGTCCACTCCCCGTGCATTGCCCGGTTTCGCGCGTGGCATTTGTTCCGCATGATGATCCAGGATGCTCCTCGATGACCCCCGCCGAGCAAACAGGCACAGGTCCGAGCGATGCCCAGCTAGAAACTGCCAACGACGTCAGCACAAACTCTCCGAGTCCCGCGCGGCTTTCTTGGGTCGGCGCAGGGCACCCGCCCCTGGCGCGCGGGGCGCGCCCGACGCGAGGCGCCGAGGGGCGCCGCCAGAGGGGGCCCCGCGCCCACCCGAGACAGGCGCGCGGACCTCCGACGTGCGAGAACGGTGCCCGTTCACCGCTCGGACTCCCTGTCAGGCCCCGCTCCGGCGCGCCACTGGGCATCATAGCCTCCTCCTCCTCCTCCTCCTCCTCCTCCTCCTCCTGCTCCTCCTCCTCCTCCTCTCCTCCTCCTGCTCTCTCCTCCTCCTCCTCCTCCTCCTCCTCCTCCTCCTCCTCCTCCTCCTCCTCCTCCTCCTCCTCCTGTCAGGCCCCGCTGCAACGCTCCACGGGACATCGTATTTGTCTCGGCCCCGACGGCCAGAAGACCAGGCACCGCAACATTCCCGCGGGTGCGCAAGCATGAATTAGCGATCCATGGATTTGGCGCGCGGTCGCCTGATCCATGGATCGGGGGAAGTGCCCTCCCCACCATGCGGCTGGTGCCGCCTCGATCGGCGGCGGGAATCCGCGATGTCCCATGGAAACGGGGCCCGTCGCTAATCCACGCCCCATTGATCCATGTGTGCGATCGCCTGACATCCCTGGGTCGAGGATCGACGACGCCTCGGGAGACGCCAGCGCGGCACGGTGCACACGAGTCGTCGGCGGACGAAATTCTATATGCCTGTGCAAGATGTGCTTCGCCTGTCTTGGCGCGCCGCCCGTTCTGCCCAGAGGCCGCGCGGGGAGTGGGCCGCGGGCCTGGCCCGGGCCGTCGCTCTGGCCCTCCGCCTGGCCATCTCAATGCGCGCGTGCCGTCGCAGACATTTGGCCGAGGAGCGCTCCAGCGGGGGCGCGCGGGACGCCCCTTGCGCCAACAACTGACGCAACTCCCCCCCCCCTAACATCCAGCGCCGCCGCCGGTCTCCTCCTCCTCCTCCTCCTCCTCCTCCTCCTCCTCCAACTCCTCCTCCTCCTCCTCCTCCTCCTCCTCCTCCTCCTCCTCCTCCTCCTCCTCCTCCTGCCGCTGGCCTGGCCCAGGCCGTAGCTCTGGCTCTCCGCCCCGCTGCTGGTCTCCTCGATCACCTCGACGGCCGCCGACGCCGTGCGACACGCTGCAGCCCGCGCGCGCGTGCGGGGGCGCACAGGGGCGGCAGCCTCTGGAAGAATCAGTGCACACTCAGTACCTCCGCGGGCACGAGGGAGCACGAGGTCAGTTGAGACGGAGCCAGGACGAGGACAACTTCGGGGGAGGATGCTTCGAGAATCTCTGAGATCCCGCGGCTCTACAGAATGTCTCGGGCGCCGCGGCCTTCTCAGAGCGTTCCCGAACGCTCTGAGAGCGTTGCGGGACGCTCTGGAACGGGCTTATCCTCGCCCTGGCACCGTCCGAAAGTCCGCGGGCACAAACGGGCACGAGGTCAGTGCAAGTGGCGGTCGAAGACACGAGCGGAGCGCGACGATAAATAGATTGGGGCACGAAGGGGCGCGGGAGGACAGCAGGGGAAAAGAGCTGCACACACGTAAGCGGCGAAAAGGAACGGGTCTCACGCAAGAAGACATCACGCCGCAGCTTGTGCGGGCCGCCAGCGAAGCACACCGCCTGGAGGAGACAGCGCGCGCGCAACCTTACGCAGGGAGATTACGGCAGGACCTGAAACAGACTCATAAGATTCTCCAAGAACATGAGAGAACAGCACAGGGCGCCCTCAGGCACCACGGAGGGCAGGACGAACCTAGCCCGAGCCGCCCTCGATGCCAAGCGCGGGGCCTGCATCAGCACGTGGCGGCTGCCAAAAGGACGCCGCCCGCAGCTGCAGGCGCAAAAATGCGCACCCAAAACCACACGAAACAACATCGAACAGCGACGCGCACACACCAAACAGCCCAGAGCGGGGCCACCCCAGCGAGAATCGATAACCAAAGCTTGCACAGCCCACCCTCCGACGCAGCTGGGCGCAACGCTGGACGCCCGCTACCACCTCCTCTGAACCCCCAGCCCAGAGGAAGGGCCAAACAACCAGTCGTTGAAACCGGCTCGTCGTCTAAGGGCCCAAGTGGGGCGCCAGATATAATCACGGGTCTCGATGCGACTTGCCTGGGCCAGGGGCGCAGTCACTGTCCCTCCTGGGTCGCGAGGCAGGTGACAGACCCGAGGGTCCAACCGCCCCCGCCGTCGGTCGATCCAGAAAGGTTGCGCACTGCCGCACCCAAACTTTGACACCGAAACGGAAGAAGACCAGACTAAACCACACTAAAGCGCGACGACAAAGGGCCTGGCGTCTGGCTCTTTTCCCCCCTTCTGCGCCCATGGGGGGCACCCCGAACGGGGTTGGGGTTAACCCAGAATCACCCCAAAAACCTGCCGCACACATTATTCGAAAAGCGGTCTGGAGGCCTGTGCACCTGCTTCGTCCGCAGGTAAACCAACCACGCCAGGGTCCAGACCTAGCATGCTACGAAGACCCAGAGGGGGAAACAAGGAAGGAACCAGGGCCGTGCCGCAACTCTCCGAGATGACAGGGGGAGGGGTCGGCGAGGATCTCAACACCCCGCCACTGGCGAAACCCACCTGCCAAGGCTCGACGCTGCCTCGAGGACTGCACGCGACGACCACAGACGGGTCGACGACACGGCAATGACAACAGACGAACGACGCAGCAGAACCCCACAGGGACGGGAAGTGGGCAACGCCTGACCTCAAGGGGGGGCGCATTGCCGCGAAAAGGATGGTACTAATGATGATGTTGATGCTGGTGTTGGCGCGATGATGCTGATGCTGATGCTGATGCTGATGCTGATGCTGATGATGATGATGATGATGATGATGAGGAGGAGGAGGAGGAGAAGGAGGAGGAGGAGGAGGAGGAGGCGGGCGAGGAGGAAGAGGAAAAAGAGAAAAAGTAGAAGGAGGAGGAGAAGGAGGCGAAGGAGGAGGAGGAGGAGGAGGAGCTCGGAGCTCGCCGCGGGCAAATCCGCGTCGGCGGCCCGTCGCGCGCGGGGGAGAACGCGGGCGCGCCATGCCCGTCAAGCTCGGCACGGCCCGCCCGCGATGCTTCAAATGATGACCTGCCCGCGGGCACACGCGATGCGGGCATGCCCGCGCCCTGTCACCGACGCGGCTGATCGCGCGGCCAGAAAAGCACAGGCGCGCGATCCACGCGCTTCGCGCTTGCGCAACGGCGCGCGAGGCTGTTGCGCGCCCGGCGCGGCGCCGCGCTTACCTGTGCCACTGACCAGGCCCTGAGGCTCACCTGACTTCCCCTGGCCGTAGTCACCGCCGGCATGATGGGTTTTTCCCTTGGGCCCCGCGTGGGCCCCTTGGGCGGCCCAAGTTGGGCCCGCCCTTCAGCTGCCGCCTTGAGAAGCCGGGGAAGCTGCAAGTCGCGCGCTCGCGGTCGGCGCGCAGGCGAAAATTCTGCTCTTGACGCCGCGTGGGCGATCTGCCCACTCCCGCAAACGACCGCTGGAGCGGCGGTCTCATGCGCTCAGGGCGCCTGGCCGCGACGCGGGCGAGCAGCGGCCGGCGGCGGCCGCGCGATGAGGGCCGCGCGAAGCGCGATCTGCATGACGACGTCTCGGCGCGCCATCGCAGCCACCAGGCCCGCGAAAGGGCCATCGCCCGCCAACTGGCTCGTGAAACTCGCGGCCAGGGCGCACCTGTCGCACGCGATCGCCCACGCCATGGGCGAAATGCGTCGCGACGCCGCGGCACCGCTCTGGGCGCGCGCGCCTCCAGATCTGTGGTCGGCGCTGCGCAACCGCCCAGCGGGGCAGCCGCTTCGTCATGTCTGTATAAACGAAGAGTTGCGCGATCCCTTTCGCCCGGGCCGGTTTGACTCGCGCCCCTCGGGCGCGTGCCGCGCGGGGGCGCCGGGCGAAAAAAAACGCGCGCGCGGGCGCCTGACTGTCGAGCCAGTCGCGCGGCGCCGGCGACGGCCCGCAAGCCGACGGCATCTCGGCGAGGCTGACGGCGACTAACCCGTCGCCGGCGCGCGCGGCCGCGGCCGCGGCTGGCTCGCGCGCGAGCGCAACCACCTTCGCGGAAGCGGGGTCGCTCGACCCCCGCGTCGACGCGCCGTCGCCGACGACGGACACGGTCGCCTCGGCCTCTGCAACACTCGCCGCGGCGCGCCCCCCCTCCGTCGAATCCGTCCTGGACGAAGGAGCTCGCGCAGGCGTCGAGCCCGACGACGTCCTGCTCGACGGGGCGCGCGCAGCGCGAGGCCCCCCTGGCAGACGAAGCGCGCGGCGCTCGCCGCAACTGGATTCGCGCTTAAAACCGCGATGACATCTCGCAGATGCGCCTCGACGCGTTTCGCGCGGGCGTTACAGCTGGCCGGGAACTTGAAGATCCAACATCGTTGCACGCAAGAAAAACGAACTCGCGAACCTGACGCGAGGCGGAGCGGATGACGAGAGGGCCCCTCGCGGTCGCGCGCACGCGAGGCTGCAGCGATCGCGCCCCGCCTTCGAACGCGGCGCACCAGGCCAGGACCAGGATCTCGTTCGGTCGCAGATTGCGATCCTCGATCGGATGCGGCACGGGCGCCAACATGGAAATCGTTGATCGCTCGCGCTCCACGCGCGGGTGCGGCGCGCGCGCTGGGAAAGTTTGGTCGATCGTTCGCGATCCGCGCGCGGATGCGGCGCAAGACTGCCTGGACTTCTCTCGGTCGTTCGCTCGCGATCCTCGCGCGGATGCGGCGCAGACAACACAGGGCCGATCGTTCAATCGCTCGCTGTCCACGCTCGGATGCGGCGCAAACGGCAGACAGGACCACGTTCGGCCGTTCCCTCGCGATCCCCTTTCGGATGCAGCGCAAACGTCGAGCTGGACCTTTTTTTCGGTCGTTCGCACGAACGCGGGGCGCACGCCCAATGAACCGCGAATTGGCGCGTGTGCCTGCGCAGCGCAGAGATGGGCACCAGCCGCGCGCGGGGGGGGGCGCGGACCTGTGCCCATCGCCTGCGGCCGGCCATCGCGCAGGCAATGCGGCGGCGCGGCGACTGCTCGCGCCTGCGTCCGCCGCGTGTCCACGGGGCCCAAGAGTGCGTCCGATGAAACAAAAAGCGAGCCGTGTGTTCCGTACACGACCACCACCATCAACATCATGAGAATCATCATTATCACCATCACTATCACCATCACCATCCATGATCATATTCCTTCTCTTCCGTCCCTTCTATAAGTTGTTGAATGATGTGCCCCCTATCTTCGGATTGCGTTCAGCTGTTTATCCGTTTATCCGCAAATCCCGCGTACTGCCTCGTTCCACGTGCAAGCTTTCAAAAGCTAGTATGTTGTTGCGTACTCGTTCCCCATCGGAGCGCATTCGGCTATTCAACATACCGTCAACATCACTACTACCATCAGCATCGCTCGTCGAGATTGGCATCACTTTCATCACCACCATCACCATCGCCACCAACACCATCATTACCATCGCGCCAACATCATCACTGTCATCATCGTCGTTCACTACAGGAACGTGAATCAAGGCCATGGGCCCGTGCACCGAAGGCCAAGGTTACATCGAGATACCCAAAGCGAAGAGCAATACAACGTGGAGAGACGAAGCAAGAATAACCTACAGGTGGAGTCGTAGGCCGCCCACCGTCTGCACACAAGCAGCTGGGCGGGTTTATCGAGCAGTTTCGTAGTGGTTTGCTGTCGAGCAGCCCCTGACCAGCTTCACATCGGGCAGTGCGCATGTACACAACCCAAGACTCGGACCAGAGGCCCGCGCCCCCATCCCGCCTGCAAACCTGCCCCCCTCGCAACCCCCGCACTCCACGCGTCGAGGAGCGGAGGCCATCGCCTTCTTCGCCTCGGCCAGCGCCTCCAGCGGTGGCGGGGTCGCCGTCGGTCATCGCCGCCGCCGTTCATCGGTCTTATCCTCGTCGCTCTCGTCGCCGCAGCCGTCGCCGCCGCCGTCGCTGGTTGTTCGTCGATCGCGACCCTTGTCCTACGACGTAGGACAGGGGTCGCGATCGACGGGGACGGCGACGAGGACTACGTAACGTAGTCCTCGTCGCCGTCCCCGTCGTCGATCCCTTTCGTCGCCGTCGTCGTCGGTCGTCGGTCGCCGGTCGTCGTCAGCGTCGCCGCCCTCGTTGCCGTCGCCTGCGGGCAGGAGGCGGCAGGTCGCTGTCGCGGCGGCGCCGGTCTCCGCCCCCGCGCGAGCCGCGGGGGCGTCCCCCCGGAGGCCGCCAGGGTTTTGGACGCCCGAAATGGGTACGGAAAGAATGGGTACAATGCCCAACAGCGGATCCTGTTCATTCTGAACAGGACTCGCTGTCGGTGTCGCCGCGGCCCGTGTCCATTCGAGACACAAGGCCGACTGCCTCACAGCGGCCGCTGTTGGTTCGGGACAACATTTGCTGTTGGGCACTGTGCCCAGTCTTTCCGTACCCATTTCGGGCGTCCAAACAGTGGCGCTCCGCCTCGGAGTGCAAGTTCCGATTTGCCCGCAGGGCACGAAACGCAGTGTGGAGAAAACGTCGGTCGCGTTGCAGCACACAAGGGCTTAGCCTCGCGACACCGACATGTGCATGCGGTGGGCGGTGGCCGACCCGTCCGCCAGACGCAGTGCCGCCCCCGGAGGCCATCGCCCGCAGCGCCGCCGCGCCCACCCGCCCCTCGGGGGGGGGTGCGCAGGGCAGGGCCGCGAGGCGAAGCCGCTCCGCCCTGGGCCGCTCCAGGGGCGCGCGCCGTGGCCAAGCTTCCGGGGCGGGTCGGGCCGAGGCGACGAGGGCGCACGGGAGGGCCAACGCGGCGAAAGCCAGGGAGGGCACAGGGCAGTTTTTAATACATGGGATGTTAAATGTATGCATGAACTCATCGTTGTTTCTAATATCAAAGCCATGCATGTTTAACACATGATCCGCACGCGGAGCATGTATTAAAAACGACACTGTATGGGCATCGGTACGTCTCTCTCTCTCTCTCTCTCTCTGAGGCGCAAGAGGACACATGTAGTGTGTGCCCCGTTGGGAGGCGCACGTCCGAGCCACACATGCAGCACAAGTATGGTGCAGATCGCGTGTCGTTGCCAAAGCGGTGTGGCCAGAGGCCGCCACCCACCGAAAATGTGCTGTCATACTTCTGAGCACTCGTATCGCCCCTGGGGAGCCGACGCATACACAGTATGTGGTTGAGTGATGTCGATTCTTCTCTGGGGGGTCTTCGGCCTTGAACGCGCCCGCCCATGCTGCCGCCGCGCCGTGGCATGAGAAACACTGGACGGAACGCATAATGAGGGGAAGCGACAGGGGGGGGGGCTGGCTCAGAGGGGGGGGACATTGACATGGAATCGGCGGTACATCGTAGATAGATCGGCGACAGGCACTCCACGGCGAAAACACATGTTCCTGGGTGGGAACGAGTGCCCAGGCCCCGATTGGCGATGAGCGGCCGATTGGCGATGGGGGGTCGGTGCGTCTCCCCCTGCCGTGGGCCTGTGCCCCCCCGCGGATGCCTTGGTACGATGCCCCTACGGAAACAGCTCTGGGTTCCCCCCCCCCCGAAGGCCCAGCCAGGTCTGGCAGCGTGATCTGGTACAGTCAGAACTGATGGTAAGGATGCGCGATAAGGATGCAAGCTAGATTGGACGCCCGTGCTGAAGCTTTATCGAGCGCGGCGGGCCATCGAAAGTAGTCAAGGATGGACCACAGAGGCACGGATGCAAAGGTACCCTGGGGAAGGTGGCCCATCCTGACCATCGGTTTCGACTGTATGGTGTGTTTTTTTCTGTTCGAGAGGACGAGGATGGCGCGGATTTCTCTGGCGTCGGCGCGGGGCCCCCATCCCCGCACCCCTGGCGGCGCCCCCCAGCGGGCTCCGCTCGCCAGGAGAGGGGGCGTGGGGAGGGGGGGACAATTCGGACCTACAGTGGTCTGAGAGAACGCGTTTCGTTGACGCCTCTAACACTCAGAGGGGAGGGGGTCGCTTCGAACCCCCCCCCAGACTTGAGCCCCCAATTCGCACCCCCCCCGCTCCCTCCCTTGCATTCTGGGGGGGGGGGGGCTCAGTTCTCGACACCCCTCCGTTCCCAGCGTCCACGGCACGCGCTCAGTGATCTTGATCGTACTTCGCGGATTCAGGTGGCGTCGTTGGCGGCACGCACCAATGGGGGCGGGTGGGGGGTCGTGAGGGGGACGGGACGGCCTTCAAAGAAGGCAGGGCCCTTCTCCAAGGGCCCCTGTGCAAGGCGGAGATTCGCAAAGAACGACCGCGCCGAGGTGCTCGCTCTCTGGGGACCTTGGCAGGCGGCGGATGAGGACATGTTCGGGCCCTGGGGCGGTCTCGTGCGATGGCCCACGCACGCGAGGCCTCCCGAGATCGACACGCGCGGCAAGGACCGCGAGGTCGAACCCCTGTTCGACGGCGCCCGCCTGGAGTCCGACGACCGAGGGCAGAGCAGAGCAGCCCCGCGGCCTTGAGCTCCTCCGCCCTGGACTTCTGCTCCGCCTCGAAGTCCTCCGCCTTCGCCTGGCAGTCCGCGTGCAGGTCCGCCTGAGGGGCACCGGCGGTGCCTCCAGAGAAGCTGGGCAGGCCATGCGCAGGCGCAGCGCGAGCAGAGGAGGCAGACGTATAGTCTTTGGCTGGCCAGCAGGATAAGCCACCACGTACCGGTCTGAGCTCATCCAGAGGAGTGCCCCTCATGGCAATCATGTCAGGACGCCTCGGAAGACGAGGCAGAGAGACTTGGTTCTTCTCGGTCCCTCGGGGTGATCTTCTTCGATTCGCATGCCCTTCTGGATGGAGAGGTGATACTCTGGACGAGAAGATATATAGATAGAGAGAGAGAGAGAAAAACAAAAAAGATCTGTATGACATGGCTGGTTTTCGCCTATGGAAAGTCAGGATAGGGCCGTTCTCAGAATCAGACGCGTACGGACAGAGAGAGACAGGGATAGAGAAGGAAGGATATTAGATACATCGAGAGATGGAGAACCAGAAAAAAAACACGAGTCGCAAAGACATGGTACATACAGACAGACATAGACGGGAGGACAGACAGGCAGGCAAGCAGACAAGATACAGGTGTAGAGGTGTGTATATATATACATATATACATTTGCACATACACATATAACACATGCACATGTTTATGATACGTATGCATGTGTACATGTGTATGTATACGTATGTATATGCTGCCGTCCCTGAGGCACGAACTCAGATCCCTCGAATTATCCGCCCCCTGTCCTGAGAACTGACAAGTACTTGGGGACCTGCGCCCCACATGTTCCGGATTTCTTGTGGCGCGTCGCGTGCCCCCGCGTGTTGCCGCACGACGTTCCTCAAGGCAAGAACAAAAGAGGCTCCCAGATGGGCCGAGAGGGCCCCAAGAAGCCCCCGAGACGGCCCGAGAGTGCCCCGAGCCGCCGGCACATCGCGCCGAAACGCTCCAGGTGGCCTCCAGACAGCCCACGAGGCCCCCCACACGGCGGCCCAAGAGGGCTCCGAACGGCCCCCGAACAGGGCCCTGAGAGGCAAAAGCGATGGATGCTCGGTTCGTTGTGTGAGGATTGTTACGTTCTCGCCCTTTCGGGCGTCTGACCGTCCAAGAGTCCCCCAAGACCCCCAAGATGGCCCCAAGACGGCTCAAGATGCCCAATAGGGCCCCCAGACGGTCCAAGAAGGGCCCAAGACGGCCCAAGAGGCCCCAAAGATGGCCCCAAGAGGGTCCGCCGCCAGGGACACGAAGTGACGGCCCCAGGAGCCCCAGGAGGCCTTCAAGAGGCCCAAATCCGCCGACCACTTGGGGTTCATCGGCGTGTGAGATCTTCCCCCTCCCCAAACCCCTCCCCCGGGAGCCCGGTCCGGTCGATTTGGAGGGGGGGGGGGGTCCGGCCGGTTCCCCCGGGGGGTCATCCGCTCCCGAAAATCCTGCAAGGACTCCTCCGGTGGCCTCGAAATGGCCCCGGGACGGCCCACGAGGGCCCCGGGACGCTAAACGAGCGCTCCAAGACGCCCAAGATGGCCCCAAGACAGGCCAAGAGGCCTCCAAGACGACCCCAGAGGTCCCAAACAAGCCTCCCAAGAGGGCCCCGAGAGGCTAAAATTGATGATTTTCCATTGTGTTTTTCTGTGTTTTTTGCCTTTTCGCCTTTTCGGCTTCCAGACGTTCCAAGACGGCCCAAGAGGCCCCGAAGACAGCCCCAAGACGGCCCAAGAGGCCCCCGAGACGGCCCCAAGACGGCCCAAGATAGCCCCAAGACGGCCCAAGAGGTCCCCAAGACGGCCCAAGAAGGCTCCAAGACGGCACCACGAGGGGCCCCAGATGGCGACCAAAAATTCAAAACATCTAGCTTTCCGCCCCCAGGAGCCCCAGGGGGCCCCAAGAGTGCCCCCAGAGGCCGCCAGAGGTTCCCAAGAGGCCCTCAAGACGCCCCAAGGAGCCCCCAAGAGGCCCCCAGGAGGCCCCAAAAAGATCCCCAGAAGCTCCGAAACGGCTCCCAAGTGGCTTCAAAACTGCCTTCCAGAGGCCCCCGAGAGGCGTGGCGCGAGATCCCGATACACATGCAAGAAGCCTCCAACCCAGAACAATGACCCAGAGCCTCCTCTCTGTCCCCCTCCTCCTCCTCCCCCTCCTCCTTCACCTCGGCCCCCAAGTGGCTTCAAAACTGCCTTCGAGAGGCCCCCGAGAGGCGTGCCGCGAGATCCCGATGCACATACAAGACACCTCTAACCCATAACCCATAGCCCAGAGCCTCCTCTCTGCGTCCCCCTCGTCCTCCTCCTCCTCCTCCTCCTCCCCCTCCTCCTCCTCCACCTCCTCCTCGCCCCCCTCCTCCTCTTCCCCCCTCCACCTCGTCCTCATGCTCTTCGATTCTTGTCCCCCCCCATCCTCCGCCTCACCCCCCATGCTTCTCTCCCCGTCCTCCTTTTCCTTCCCAGCACGCGCGCTCGATTGGTCATCATTTGCATGTCTTGCACTTCAGGGTGCCCTTCTTTTCGTCGCGCGCGACACTGGTAGGGTTCACGGAGAACGCCGACTTCGGTAGTCATCTCTTGCACGGGCCGCTACACTGATACGCAGGAGTCCCAAGGGGTCGGCGGTGCGGCGTAAGCCAAAGAATCAGACCCCGGGAAGTCCCCAAGAGGCCCCACGACACGCCGAAAGTCGCCTCCAAGTGGCGTCCGAGAGGCCTCCCAAAAGATCCCCACAGCCATCCGCAAGAGGCCTCTGGCCCACCACCTGGGCAAGGTGGCGGGATGGGGTCCCCCTGTTGGCTTGCCACAGGGGTACACCGCGTGTCAAACTTTGGGTAGTCTGGGTCCTTCATGTGAAAAGTCCCAATGTGGCTCCGGGCCTTCTGCGCCGGCACGGGAGAATGACCCCTAAACTTCCCACGTCGTCGATCTTCCCGCTCCAGACGGCCCCAAGATGGTCTCCTAGACGGCTACGATGGCCCCAAGAGTGCCCAAAAAGGCCCAAGACGGGCAGAGATGACCTCGAGATGGCCCAAAATGAGCTCAAGATCGCCCAAGACTCAAGACGGCACAAGAGGCCTCCAAGACGGCCCAGGAAGCATCCAAGAGGACCTCCAGGAAGGCCCGAAGAGGCCAAAATCATTCCTCAGGTGTCTGACATATTTTGGCGTTTGCTCATTGCAGCTTCCCGACGGCCCAAGACGGCCCCATCGGCCACCAGCAGCGCCCAGGAGGCCTCCGAGATGGCCCCCTGACGTCCAAAGAGGCCCCCAGGACGGCCCCAAGAGGGCCCCAAGACGACCCAAGACGCCCAAGATGGCCTCCAAGACGACACTGAAGCGCCCCAGCAGGGCCCCAAGGCTGTCCAGAGATGTCCTCAAAGTAGCTTCCGACGGCGTTTGACGTGCCAGGAACGTTCTCAAACAGCCAAAGAGCGCCCCGAGGAGTCTCCAAAGGCCCCCAAGAGGCCCCCAGGAAGCTCCCAGGAAGCCCCAATAGTACTCCATGAAGCGCCCAAGAGGCCTCCTCCGCCTCCTCCTCCTCCTCCTCCTCCTCCTCCTCCTCCTCCTCCTCCTCCTCCTCCTCCTCCTCCCGTCTCCTCCCTCTACTCCTCTTCGTCTCTCTCCCCCACGGGTTCCCCGAAGGGTTTCCGCAACGACGGGGGGAGCCCATAGTCCGAAAGCTTGGCCGAGCTCTGGCCGCAACGTTCGGCCACATAGGCGCTTCCAAAAGGCAGAGGGCGGCGGTGATTCGCCATAGGCGTCCTCGATAGAGAGGGATACATGTGTATATATATACACAAGAACCATCGCGCGCGCTTCGCGCGCGCTCAGGTTCTAGCCCAGGCCGGGGGAGCGCTGGACGATCTTGGAAAACGCTATCAAGCACAGGCGCGCGACGGCATCCGAGGAGCTTCTGGGGTGTTCCGCATGCTTCGTCAACTTGCTGTTGGAGGCACCTCTTGGGTGCTTCTCGGGGGGGCGTCTGAGGGTCCCTTGGGGGCATCGGTTCTGCAATCTGAAGCCGTCATTGGCCGTCTTGGCTGTGTGGAGGCCCGACTTGAGGCCACCTGCGGCCAGATTGAGGCAATCCGGAAGCCTCCCGGGGGCCTCCTGGAAGTAGTTTTGACGCATCGAGGGCACTCTTGGGCTGTTTTAAAGCCTCTTGGACGTCTCCTAGGGGCCTTTTAGGCCCTCGGGAAGCTTGTGGGGTCCTCGTCGGACCACTTGAGGGCCTATTGCGGCCTCCTGTGGGCCTTTTGGGGGGATCGCTCTGCTGCTGGGTCGCGTTCCCCTTCTTGGGCCTCTCTTGGGGCTCTTGGGGCCCTCTCGGGCCGTCTTGGGCGCCTCAAGCACCGTCTCGGGGCCCTCGCGGGCCGTCTTGGGGCCCTCTTGGAGGCCTCTTCCTCTATATTGGAGCGGTATTGGAAGCCTCTTGGGCCGTCTTGGAGCATCGGGATGCCAAACTGCCGAAAAAAGTAAAACCCATCAAAGACCAATCGTAAAACAATGAGTTGTGCCTCTTGGGGCCACCTTGGGAGATCTCTTGGAACCTCGTCGGCCCTCTTGGGAGCTTCTTGGGGGCCTCTTGGATCCGATTGGGGACCTCTTGGGACTTGCCGAGAACCTCTCGGGGTAGAAAGCTCAGATTCTCGGTTCGTGTTTCCCTTCTTGGGTCTCTCTTGGGGCCGTCTTGGGGCCCTCACGGGCCGTCTTGGGCGCCTCAGGTACCGCCTTGGGGCCCTCGTGGGCCGCCCAGGGCCCTCTTGGAAGCTACTTCGGCTATCTTGGAGCTGTCTTGGAGGCCTCTTCCTCCTCCTCGTCCCACTCCTCCTCCTCCTCCCACTCAAGCTCTCTCTCCTCCTGATCTTCCTCCTCCTGCGGCGTGTTCCGGAAGGCTCCCGCCGGAACATGCTGTGCACAAGTGCTGTCACTGCTCCCGCCAACGTGCCCTGGGTGGTGGGTCAGAGGCCTCATGGGTGTTGGTTTGGATCTCGTGGTTGGCCTGTCGGGGACGTCGTGAAGGCAGTTTCGCAGCTTCTCGGTAGCCGTTTTGGGACCGTTGTGGGCCCTCCTCGGGGCTGTTTTGTGGCCTCTTTAGGCCTCGTTTGGGCCTCCTGGGTGCATCTTGGGGGCCTCCTGGGGCCTCTTGGGGGCTCCTTGGGGCCTCCTGGGGCACTCTTCAAGCGAGAGGCTCGAATTTTGGAGTCGTGGTCCCCCTCTTGGGCGCACCTTTTTTTTAATAGGGGCATGATGTTAGCGATGCTCGTGTCACGCCAGAGTCGGAGCCGCATTCGGGAGTCGGAGCCCACACGGCTCAATCCAAAATGAAACACAATCCGATCTGCAAGAAGGCTACGCGGGAGCAAACGGAGGAGGAGGAGGAGGACGACGAGGAAGAGCGGGGGGGCTGTCCTGCGTTCGCAGCAACGCGAGTCAACGCGGTGTCGAGCTGCTGTCCAACTGACAACTTGTACAAGGCATAGTCTCAACATGCTCGAACCATGCTCTGATTGGACGTGCATAGGCCGATCTGACTGGACAACGCCCAGACCGAGGCCCTCGTGAGCACGACCAACAAAAACGGAACATGGAAATGGTGAGGACACGATAGGGAACTAAAGGAGGTAAACTGAGAAATAAAACGGCGGATGGAACGGTATGGAGATAAGCGGATGTTTCACCATCCGATAGAACGATCCCAGTCTACACAGCCGTGTTCAAAAAGCAGAGCCAGCACACAAGGAATGCAAGCTCGTGAAAAAAAAAGAAGGAAAAAGTGCCAGAACCTATCAGCCACATCTCGGGCAGCCAAGGAGACTTAGGCATACTTAAAGGTCTGGCGTCTACTTTGCGAGGTCCACGTAGCAAATATAATATCGAGTACAGTAAAGCGCCAGACAGGAGGAAAGGATAGGATCACCGCTTGACATCGAGGCCAATATGCCATCGACCACCTCGGGATAGTTTGACACTCAACACATAGATGAGAGGTTGAGGTCAAGGTGACTTCCTCATCATCAACGTGTATTGCTCTCCGCCTCCATCACTTTTCACACTCGATTTGCGCAGCCGAACGTTCACCTCTGGGCGAAGAAAGGGTGGGGCTCAGGGTTCTTCGTGCGACGCAGCCGCCTCGCACTCCACCTCCTGGCGTTCTCCTCGTAGCCCTGCAACTGTGCCGCCATGACCTCGAGGACGGGCGCGGCGGGTCCAGCCATGGCCAGCCGCGACCCGTTCCACTCGGCGATGAAATCGAGGGCGTCACTCGGGGTGATAAAGTTTACAAACGCGTGACCCTTCGTAGTCCGAGCGTGAAAGTCCGTTGGCACGTAGGCGAAGACATAGCGGTTGGCGACCACACCTGCTGATAGCAAGCCACCCTAACTCTGGAGTGGTGCTAGAAGAAGGTCCAAACCGAGGTCCACCTCGATGACCCTGCGTGAAAATGGAGCTATCGGGGGGCCGCCCCGTTCTCCATGCGCAAGCGGGTCCTCGACAAAGCGCCGGACCAGATGTGAAACGTAAAAGGAAATCCACCCGCTCGTCGAACGAGAAGCCGATGGAAAGCGTCGATCTCAAAGGATCTTAGCCCCGCACGGGGCGGCCTTGGAAGTGAGACGTCGTTCGATGCAGCCCAAACCCTTGATCCGCCAGGGAACGGGGGGCCAGGCGCCCCGCTCAGGGGGCAGCCACTTGATGCGCCTCAGGAGAGCTGGTAACGTGGCCGCCAAACTCTCCCGGCGTGACCGTCACGATGCGGGCTGGGCGGCAGCTCGGCGCCGGCGCCGCGGCCGCTGTGTACGCCGTGTGGCGGCGCGCCGGCTTTGCTCCGGAGGGTCGGCTGCCTTCGCCGCTGGAAGGTGGCTCGTGGTGGCCACCTTCGCCCAATCGCGCGCGTGCACCTGCTCCCACTCCTCGTCATACTCGCTCGGGGAATCCTCGAGGTCGGCCCACGCCACTCTCACGGGGACCTTCTGGGCGCCGTCGCCGTTCTCGACAGCGACCTCGCGGGGCTCGTCGTCGGTCAGCTTAGCCGCGAAGAGGTCGTCGTCGAGCTCGAAAAGAGCTCTCGCTTCGGCCAGTGCGGCCTCATATGCCGCGTCGGCATCGACGTCGTCGTCCTGCCCCTCGGCTTCGCTGGCGGAGTCGTCAGCGTCAATGCCAAGAAGTGCCCTCGCTTCGGCCAGCTTGGCCGCGAAGAGGTCGTCGTCTTCCTCCGCTGGGTCCTGCTCCTCGGCTTCGCTGGCAGAGTCGTCAGCGTCAATACCAAGAAGTGCCCTCGCTTCGAGCAGGGTGATCTGCTCCTCTGGGTCCTGCCCCTCGGCCTCGCTGGCGGAGTCGTCAGCGTCAATGCCAAGAAGTGCCCTAGCTTCGGCCAGCTTGGCCGCGAAGGCGTCGTCGTCCTCCTCCACTGGGTCCTGCTCCTCGGCTTCGCTGGCGGAGTCGTCAGCGCCAATGCCAAGAAGTGCCCTCGCTTCGGCCAGCTTGGCCGCGAAGGCGTCGTCGTCCTCCTCCACTGGGTCCTGCTCCTCGGCTTCGCTGGCAGAGTCGTCAGCGTCAATACCAAGAAGTGCCCTCGCTTCGAGCAGGGTGATCTGCTCCTCTGGGTCCTGCCCCTTGGCCTCGCTGGCGGAGCCGTCAGCATCAATCCCGAGAAGAGCCCTCGCTTTCAGCATGGCCTGGGCCTCGATAGCGAAGAAGGTGTCCAGATCGTCCACCTTCAGCTCGGCGTCGCCAGTCGGCCCGAGGATAGTCTTGCAAAGGGACAGTCGGCTTCGCCAGTCGCCCAGTAGCTCCCCAAGCAAGCGGTTCGCGAAGCCAGACCGGCTCATGAGGACCAGAAGGTCGCCCTGCGTCACAGCCATTGGAAGGTTGCGGATCACGAGCGTGGTAATGGCTGGAGCGCCAGGGGCGACGGGCGCTGCCTTCTCCATCGGCGCCAACGCCCTGGCCACGGGCTCATCCTGTTGGAGCTCTAGCTCCGTTCGGCCTCCTGCTGGATCATTCTTTGCCTGGCCTCCTGCACCTCCTGCTGCAGCTTTGCCTGCAGCTGCTTCAGCTCCAGGATCCTGGCCCGCTGCATCTCCAGCGCCCTGCTGGCGGCCGCGAGCTTGCCGCCGGAGGCTCCTGCGCGCCCGCCGCAGACCGGCCGCCCCGCCCGCGCCGCGACGCCCACACCGGGCGCTGCCCCGCCCCCGGCGCGGGCGGGCTCCGCCTGCCGGAACCTCCCAGCAGGCGCCGCCCCGGCGGCGGAGCGCGGCGCAATGGCGGGCGCACTGGTCGGCGCTGCTCCGGCGCCGCCGTGGAGCGGGGGCGCGCCGCTGGCTGCCCGAGCCGACGGGCGCTCGCGGGGAGCCAGCTGGGCGGCGCCGGGGCCCGCCCAGGCTGAGCCCGCGCGGGTGGTCGAACTCGTCGTCGGTCTCCAACGGCTCGTTGTCGCTCTGCTCGCAGGGCGGCAGGAGCTGCATGGTGGGGAGCGAGTTCACGGCAGCCTCCTGCATGGTGGGCAGTGACTGCATACTGGGCAACGAACCAAAAGTCCGTCTGAACCTGGGTATGGTGCGAACGCGGCTATGTTGGGGTAGGACGCAGAAGATCCGCAAGTTTCCGTTGTTGGCGTGGCCGTAGGAGCACTCCGACTGGTGACACAGGTGAAACTGCATTTTCCAGGCGGGACGCAGAAACCGCAAGCGTTGCACATGGCGCTGGGGATGCCACTTTGAACCCGCTGAGATGATCCCCGACTCGTCGGCGAGTCCATCGTTGTAAAAAAAACGCGAGCTGTAGAAGATGATGCGGTACAGTCGCCTGGATCAAAGAGGTGAACTAGAAGATATACTTGACGCTCAACCGCTTGAGCCAAAATGACTTGAGGCAAAATTGCTACGGACCCCCTCTTGGGCGCATCTTGGGGCCGTCTTGGGGCTCTGTTGGGCTGTCTTGAGAACTCTGGGGCCGTCTTGGGGCCCTCTTGGGCCGTCTTGGGGCGCTCTTGGGGGCCTATTGAGCCGTCTTGGAACGTCGGACAGCCGAAAAAGCTGGAAGGCCAAAATCGTTCGAAAACCTTCGTAAAATTTACGATTTCGGCCTCTTGAAGCGCTCTGGAGAGGCGTCTTGAAGCTTCGTGAAGTGCCTTGGGGGGCCTCTCGGGCCGTCTTGGGCCTATCTTGGGCGTCCTCCGCTTGGGCCGTCTTGGGAGCCTCTGGAGGCCCTCCTGAACTATTTTGGACCTCCCCGGCCGCCCCGTCCTCCCATGGGGGGTCGGAGGCGGCGGCCTCCGAGGCCCAGGACGCGGAAACCCTATAAAAACACTAGGAAAATAAGCACCGGTACCCCCATGGAGAGTCGAGGCAGCTGTTTTCGGGTCTGCTCCCAGGCCCTGAAACGCCGAAGCCCTGTGAAAACACAGGGAAAGTGAGCCCCGGAGCCCCCTGGAACCATCGCAGGCGCCTCGGAGGCCCTGGAACGCTGGCGCCTCGGAGGCCCTGGAACGCCGAAACCCTTTAAAAAAACACAGGGAAAGTGAGCCCCGGAGCCCAAATGGAGGGCGCAGGCACACTCCTGGCGGCCTCGCTCCTGTTCCGCCGGCATATTATTATTATTATTATTATTATTATTATTATTATTAGTATTATTATTATTATTATTATTATTACTATTATTATGATTATTATTGTTATTACAAGTTATTATTATTATTAGTATTATTATGGACTCGGCTATGCATCAAATGCTGCCTCGCAGTTCCTGTGAACGCCGATGGAACTAGTGCACATAAGTGCTGCAAAGGTTGTTGAAATGAACGGGCATTTTCATGCATGACCCGATGCTCTCCACAGTTCGGGAGAAACTGGAATCGTGCAATATGGTGAACAGCGTGAGCACTTCGGATAAGCCTGCCAACTCTGCAGCGAAAGAATCATCGAGACTGGGGTCAGAAAACCCTCCGAAAGCAAGAACTCTCCAGCCTTGCTCCTGGGCCCCTTCACGCATCAAGAACCCTCCTGCGCTGAGGCCGGGATGTCTCCAGCCCCCGTCAGAATGCATGAGTACATTATGTGGATTCGTGACTAAACTGTACCAGTCAGGGAACAAGTATAAAAAATCCGTCCGGGTATTCATCGCGAAATTACACAAGGCATCGGCTTCCGCGTTTTCGTCAAGCCGGCATACATATATATATATGTATATATATATATAAGCGAGGGAGAGAGAGAGAGAGAGAGAGAGAAAAAAAAAACAAAAACAAAAAAAACTGCAAACAAAAAACATACGAGACAAGCAAAGACAGCAAGAGAGAGGGAGAGAACTGCAACGAAACGCCTGACGCCTGAGGGATTCTCAACGGCACCGCGCCGACGTCGCCAGGACGGCCTCGACGACGACGACGACGACGACGACGACGACGACGACGACAACGCCGACGAAGACGACGACGACGACGACGACGACGACGACGACGACGACGGCGACGACTTCGACGACGACGACGACGACGACGACGACGACGACGGCGACGGATACGACTTCGACGACGTCATCAACGGCGACGACGACAACGAGGGAGGAGGGATGACGGCGACGGCGAGGGAGGAGGGAGGATCTCGACCGAAGGATCGACGACATTGTCGCCGCCGACGTCAACGATGAAGACAAACGACGACGACGACGACGACGACGACAACGACGACGTCGACAAGAACAAGGATGTCGACGACGGAGTAACCGCATTGTCGTTGATGGCGGCGCGGCAACGACGACGACACACCGATACCGCTGCTCCGTGGACCTCTCACGGGGCGTGTCCCGACCAGGATTCCGATGCGAATCGAGCCACGGCGACGACTGCCTCCAGGGTTCCCAGAGAAGGCGAAAACAAAGGAAGGCCAGCTGTGTCGGTTCCTCTGCCCAGACATCAACAGCCGCTCGAAGCTCGTGCCAAGACCCCTCCAAAAGTCCCAGATCGATTTCTAACGGTCCCGTGGCCTGAAAACGACCCCCAGACTCCGGAAACGCTGAAGCACCTCGGCCCACCACATGTCGCCCCTCCTCGATTCAAAATGGGTATGGGTATCGCTGTGTGTGTGTGCGTGTGTGCGTGCGTGTGTGCGAGTGTGCGTGCGTGCGTGCGTGCCTGCGTGCCTGCGTGCTTGCGCACGTGCGTGTGTGCACGTGTGTGCTTGTGAAGTTTGTGCGTGTGCGTGTTTGCGTGTTTGTGCGTGTGTGAGTGATCAATGCTGCCCGCGGCGACAGCACAACCGAACACCAATCGAACCGGCATCGTAATCGGAGCCGACCGAACCCGGCAGGACACGAGCAGCCCGGAAGGGCGAGCGCAGCGACCGCAGCGACGACACCACAACCGACCAAGCCGAACCGCCCGAACGCGAACGCAACAAACCGAAACGCAGCCGAACCAACCGACAACGACCGCGGCGGGTGCACCGGCCGTGGAGGCGGCGACGACGACGGCCAGGGGCGCCTTCGTCTGCGCGTCGGACGACATGTCCCGCGAGGTGGCCTGGAGGTCGCCCTCTGCCTCGGCCTCCGCACGGACGTCATCGTCGCCGTCGCCGAGGTGGACGTCGTCGTCGCGGACGTCGTCGCCTTCGTCGTGGCGGTCGTCGTCGTCGGCGGCGGCGGCGGCGACGCAGGCGTCGGCGTCGGCGTCGGCGTCGGCGTCGACGTCGATGTCGTCTGGACGCATCATCGTCGTCTGGACGCAGGTCGTCGACATTGGCGCCCTCCCTTCCTCTCTCTCTCTCTCTCCTCCCTCCTCCCTCCCCCCCATCCCTCCCTCCCCCCCATCCCTCCCTCCCCCTTCGTCCCGACAGGGATGGATGGAGGAAGGAGGACACGAGGGAGGAAGGCGGAGGGCTCCGGGAGGGGACGGCAGGAAGGCCGACGGAGCGAAGAGGCAGGGAGGGAGGGATGGGGGGGGTCTCAGGCGGCTCTCGCGCGCTTCGGGGGGCGCCCTCGACGGTGTCCAGAGGCTTCACGAGGAGGGAGGGAGAGACGAGAAAGGGGAAGGGCGGAGAGGTGACGAACCAACAACACACACCCACAGGGGGGTCGGAGAGGGCTATGGGTGCGAGTTGTCAGACGGGGGTCCCCGCTCGAACGGGAGCGTTCCCCAGGGTCCGACAACCGCACCCATACCCATAGCCAGTCCTCCTGCCAACGACCCCCCTATGGGTATGGGTGTGTGTTGTTCGTTCGTCAAGAGGGGGGGGGGGGGGTCGGCGGGGGGGGCCAGGGCTCCTGTTCTGGGAGGAGGCCGTCGAGGCGGCGAGGGCGGCGCGGGTGCTTCTGGTAGCTCTCCAGTGTCTTCGCGGGCCCATCACACTGGGGCGTCGCGCAGCAGTCAAAGAGGGGGCGGTTCTGCCCCGTCTCGGGCGCAGGGGCCCTCGCGGATCCATCTGGATCGAGGGGCCGCGAAAGGGCGATGTGGTCTACAGCTCCGAAGTCGCGTGCTTGGGCGAGGAGGGGGGGCGGTTTTCGCACACTCTGCAGTGTCGGCGGTTGTCGGAGGCTTCCGGAAGTGGGAAGGTGGGTGAAGAGCCCAAGGAGGCCGTGGAGCGACGCAGACACGGGCACTGACGCTGTGTTCGATTGATTGCAGCCGCCTTGCCCCAAGGAGGTTGGGGGGGAGAAAAAACGAGAAGCAACAGCAGCAGGCTGGAAGCAAATGCAGCAAAGGGGGAGTGAAGAGGGAGGGAGGAACGGGGCAGGGTGGAACGATGGAGGGAGAGAGCGGATGAGGGAGCAGGGGACGAGGCAGAAGCGAGGAGCAAGTGAGAGGAGTTGGGAGGAGCGAGGGAGGAACGGTGGAAGAGGAGATGGGGGAGCAGAGACGAGGGAGAGTCGAGGAGCGAGGGAGGAGAGGCGACAGAGGTGGGGGGGAGCGAGGGGGGGGAAAGCACGGGGAGGAGGGAGCAGGGAGGGGCTGCTGGTGGTGGCCCCAGCACGAGGAAACCGTTACCGAGCAGAGCAGCGGCACGCACCGCGACCCCGACACCGACAGGGACCGGGCGCGCGCCATGCGCACCGCCTCGCGGCTTTGGGAAAGGGCCCACCCACCGAGGTTTGGCACACAGCACCTCGTCGAGCGGTGCTGCGGGAGCATACGCCCTCCCGTCCCTCGGGAGCAGCAGCCGGACACTTCGGGCTCGCACCCACGCCCTGCCGAGCCCCGAGGCACGCTTGGGCACCCGATCCCCCCAACCTCGTCAGGGCCACCGGCAAGGGAGAGGGCGGCGGTGGCTTACGCGTCCCAGAGCTACGAAGCTCCAAGCGCCGTGGCTCAGAGAGCCAGGAAGGCGGACAGAAGGATAGACAGCCAGGCGGCGTGCATTGCCTGGCGAGCCGCTACATGGACTCGGGAGAGGGACGAGGGAAGGGGCTCTCCCCGCCTGGCCTTGACGGCCTGGCTGTTGGCAAGGGCCTTCTTGGCATCGGACATGTCCGTGTTCCCGTTCTTGATCTCGTCCTCGCCGCAGTGCGCGGCCGCTCTCCGACAATGACTCGTGGGCGCGAAAACATCGTTTAGAGATCCATGGATTTGGCAAGCGGTCGCCAAAGCCATGGATCTGGGGAGGTGCCCTCCTCAAAATGCGGCCGGTGCCGCCCCGCTCGGCGGCGGAAATCCGCGATTTCCCATGGAAACGAGACCCGTCGCTAATCCACGCCCCCTTGATCCATGTTTGCGATCGCCTGAATGACGACGGTGGCGATGACCACGAAGACCGACGGCACACGAAGCGACAGTCAACGAAGGCAGCGAACGGCTGACGGACGACGATCGGTCGGCGGCGAACGACGAGGTTGAGCGCGTGCGTGCGCCAACGATCACCGGCAACGACAATGGCATGCAAGTCACGCGGTTCGCAATAGCACGCGTGCTGCCGCCAACATCGCTGTCTGCCCATGTCTGGTCCTCATTAGGCAAGCGCGTTCCGCTACTCGCAAAGTCACTACTCGCAAATGGCCTGGATCCGCCGCGGGGGGGTTACGATAGATTACATCGAGGCGAACGTTGGCTTTTCGGACGTTTGCGAGTAGGCGCTTTGCGAGTAGTGGAACGCGCTCGGCGACTCATGCCTGGCCGTCCGTGCTTTAAAGTGCTGTGCTAACCGTGCTCCGCGATCAACGCACCACCATTAACACATGCGCTCACAGAAACAGTCGCAGTCGTCATCGTCGCAACTGGGGTATATACTCTGTGGACGCATCCATCCTCGATAGGCATGCGTCTAAATAGCCCCCCGGTCAGCCTGATGATCTGGAGGAACTCGGGGGCTGGGAACGAGAACTCGCCTGTAAGAATGGGGTCCTGGATGCTTGAGGACTTCGCGGGGCACCGGTGTTGCATCCAGGGCTCCAGGGCCCTGAAGGGCCCTGAGAGGCAGACAACGGTGAAACAACTCAGGACTTCTTTCCCTCAGGAGCCCCTTCACGATGAAGGAGCGGGAGAAGGAGAAGCCAGAGAAAAATGGTGACGACCGAACGAACAAGCCTCGGATTCCCCTGAAGTTGCCTGAACACACGAGCACTCGCTCCGCACGCACACTCGCGCTGGCGAGGAGGAGGAGGAGGAGGAGGAGGAGGAGGAGGAGGAGAAGGAGGAGGAGGGAGGAGGAGGACGACGAGGACGACGAGGAGGACGACGAAGATGAGCAGCAGGAGCGGGAGGGGAGGAAAAGATGATGAGGAGGAGGTCCGTAGCCATTTTGGCTCAAGCGGAAGGCCCCTCCCAGTGCTCTGCCTCGCTCCCGGGGGGCCTCCTCTCCCCGCCGGCGCCGCTTGCTGGCCAGCCAGGCGGCCCTCCAGAAGCTCGTGGAGAAAGCCAGCGAGGTCGCAGGGCACCTGGCGCCATCGGGGGCGCGCCTCTCTCCAGGCCGGCGCTGCGCACGGCAGCCGCGGGCACAGCGCGCGTTGTGCCACGCTAGGGGCCCCAAGCGCTTCTGGGCCCCGAGGCAGCACCCGTCGTTCAGGCGAACCCGACATCGTCGCCGCCGAATTCTCCCGAATACTCCTCCTCCTCCTCGTCCTCCTCCTCCTCCTCCTCCTCCTCCTCCTCGTCCTCCTCCTCCTCCTCCTCCTCCTCCTCCTCCCCCTCCTCCTCCTCCCCCTTCAGGGCGCGACTGGCCCCGCGGCAGATGCCGCACGGCACTCGGCCGAGGCGCCAGAGGCGGGCTTTGCAGTGGCGGGCGACGGCGCCCTCGCGGCTGCGACGGCCAGGCCGCGCCGCGGCTGGAGCGCGCGGCCAAGGACGCCCTCCAGCACAGCATGAGCCAGCAGACCCGCAGCACGATGCGCCGACAACTGCCACCGCGGCCAGCGATGCGCTGCCGCCGCGCCGCTGCTGCCCGTCCACGACTACTGCGACGACCTCGGGAACCAATGCAACATGGGCAATTCTAACCAGTACGAGTTCAATCAGTACGTAGCACCCCGCAATTGCGAAAAAGAGTGAGGGGGCGGGCGCGTCGCCGGGGGGGGTCTCGGGGTGGGTCGCGAGCGGGTCGCGGGGTGGGTCGCGGGTGGGTCGCGGGTGGGTCGCGGGTGGGTCGTGGGGTGGGTCGCGGGTGGGTCTCGGGGTGGGTCGCGGGGCGGGTCGCGGGTGGGTCGCCGATGCAAAAGAAACCCGCCGCAGGCGCCGAAATTTTGGCTTGTTCAGTGAACGTAGTTTGGGTCGCGGGCTCTCCACCTCCACCTGGAAGGAAGTCAAAAACAGCCCGCCGCAGGCGCCGAAAATTTAGATTTGTACACTGAACGCGGTTTGTGTCGCGGGTGGGTCGCAGGTTCCACCTGGAACGACCTGGAACAAATGCAAAAGAAACTCGGCGCCGAAAATTTTGGGTGGGTCGCGGGGTGGGTCGCGGGTGGGTCGCGGGTGGGTCGCGGGTGGGTCGCTGGTGGGTCGCGGGTGGGGCGCGGGTGGGTCGCGGGGTGGGTCGCGGGTGGGTCGCGGGTGGGTCGCTGGTGGGTCGCGGGTGGGTCGCGGGTGGGTCTCGCGGGGTGGGTCGCGGGTGGGTCGCGGGTGGGTCGTCGCGGGGTGGGACGCGGGTGGGTCACGGGGCGGGTCGCAGGTGGGACGACGACAACAACAAACAACAAACAACAAACAACAAACAGCAACAAGTATCCCGGCAAAGCAACCTAACAGCGATGTGTATAAGCATATCTGGAAGTATTCCCCTTAATATTCAGGTGAGAATCCAGTTGTAGAATTCTGCTGTGCTCGCAGTCGCAGTCGCATTCGCCATGACAGTCGCAGTGGCAACGGCCTTAGGATCCAATTGAATCCTAAGGATTCCGAGGGATTCCTAACGCATCCTTAGGCATCCTTAGGAATCCTAAGGATTCCTAATGATTCCTGAGGATGCTTAACTCTGCCTACGGATTCCTAAGGATGCCTACGGATTCCTAAGGATTCCTAGGGATTCCTAAAGATTCCTATGGATTCCTGCGGATGCCTCAGCCTGCCTCACTTTCAGCATCAGCCTCAGCCTGCCTCGGCTTGCCTCAGCCTCAGCCTCAGCCTGCCTCGGCCTCAGCCTCTCGGCCTCATCCTCAGCCTCAGCCTCAGTCTCAGCCTCAGCCTGTCTCGGCCTGAGCTTGCCTCGGCCTCAGCCTCAGCCTCAGCCTGCTTCAGCCTCAGCCTCAGCCTGCCTCAGCATCAGCCTCAGCCTCAGCATTAGCCTCAGCCTCAGCCTCAGCCTGCCTCGGCTTGCCTCGGCCTCAGCCTCAGCCTGCCTCGGCCTTAGCCTCAGCCTCAGCCTTCCTCAGCCTCAGCCTCAGCCTGCCTCAGCTTCAGCCTGCATCAGCCTCAGCCTCAGCCTGCCTCAGCCGCAGCTTGCCACAGCCTCAGCCACAGCCTCAGCCTCAGCCTCAGCCTGCCTCAGCCTCAGCCTCAGCCTGCCTCGGCTTGCCTCAGCCTCAGCCTGCCTCGGCCTCAGCCTCAGCCTCAGCCTCAGCCTGCCTCAGCCTCAGCGTCAGCCTCTCAGCCTCAGCCTGCATCAGCCTCAGCCTCAGCCTCAGCCTGCCTCGGCCTCAGCCTGCTTCAGCCTCAGCCTCAGCCTGCCTCCATCTCAGCCTCAGCCTGCCTCGGCCTCAGCCTGCGTCGGCCTCAGCCTCAGCCTGCCTCAGCTTCAGCCTGCCTCAGCCTCAGCCTCAGCCTGCCTCGGCGTGCCTCAGCCTCAGCCTCAGCCTGCCTCGGCCTCAGCCTGCCTCGGCCTCAGCCTGCCTCAGCTCGGGCATTCAAAATCCGCCGGCCCCCTTTGGGGCCACCAGGCTGTAGGCGCGGGTTCGCAGTTTCCTGTACCAGTTGTAGCTTGTAGTTTCCAGTTTTACTAGTTGACTTCTTGCTGGTTACTGTAACTAGTTGATTGACCGCGCGAGGGGGGGGGAGGCCCAAATAGGAGTTTTAGCCTCACCTGGGCGCGTTGTCTGAATTGCTGGGGGGGCTCGAAATCGACACCCCTCACGCAGATCCGCGGGGTCAGGGTCCAAAAACACATGGGATTTGCCACATTTCTGAAATTCGGTGCCACCCCTCACGCAGATCCGCGGGGTCAGGGTCCAAAAACACATGGGATTTGCCACATTTCTGAAATTCGGTGCCACCCCTCACGCAGATCCGCGGGGTCAGGGTCCAAAAACACATGGGATTTGCCACATTTCTGAAATTCGGTGCCACCCCTCACGCAGATCCGCGGGGTCAGGGTCCAAAAACACAAGGGATTTGCCACATTTCTGAAATTCGGTGCCACCCCTCACGCAGATCCGCGGGGTCAGGGTCCAAAAACACAAGGGATTTGCCACATTTCTGAAATTCGGTGCCACCCCTCACGCAGATCCGCGGGGTCAGGGTCCAAAAACACAGGGATTTGCCACATTTCTGAAATTCGGTGCCACCCCTCACGCAGATCCGCGGGGTCAGGGTCCAAAAACACATGGGATTTGCCACATTTCTGAAATTCGGTGCCACCCCTCACGCAGATCCGCGGGGTCAGGGTCCAAAAACACATGGGATTTGCCACATTTCTGAAATTCGGTGCCACCCCTCACGCAGATCCGCGGGGTCAGGGTCCAAAAACACAAGGGATTTGCCACATTTCTGAAATTCGGTGCCACCCCTCACGCAGATCCGCGAGGTCAGCGTCCAAAAACACAGGGGATTTGCCACATTTCTGAAATTCGGTGCCACCCCTCAGACAAATCCGCGGGGTCAGGGTCCAAAAACACATGGGATTTGCCACATTTCTGAAATCCGGCGCCACCCCTCACGCAGATCCGCGGGGTCAGGGTCAAAAAACACAGATTTGCAACATGTTTGAAATCCGGCGCCACCCCTCACGCAGATCCGCGGGGTCAGGGTCCAAAAACACACGGGATTTGCCACATGTCTGAAATTCGGTGCCACCCGTCACGCAGATCCGCGGGGTCAGGGTCCAAAAACACACGGGATTTGCCACATTTCTGAAATTCGGCGCCACCCCTTATGC